ATATTCGTGAACGCCAAGGTACCGTGAGAGAGTTCCCATTTTCTGGTGAAGCCCCTCCCACATCGGTCTATGATGCCCCTATCATCTTATGAAACACTACAATAGATCTAGCAGCAAATGGATAGCCCATTTTTCTGGTGCGTTTCCTCATTACTAAAGGACCCATCCTCATGCTAATGATGGAAGGCCTTTAGAGAGTTCATCATATGAATCTCCTTATCACATGCACTCATATTGCTGGAGGGAACAAAGAGCTACGCCCTAGTTAAATTTAGGTCAAACCAGAGTGGCTCCCATTGACTTTTAGGGGTGTGGGGCCCACCACTGAGGGAGATCATTCAGTGATCTTTAGGGACACCATGGCAATGATGTGCATTCAGCCATGGTGTGCGCAAGAGCCGCTGTCGTATCAACATGGGCCAAGCACTTATGGCCCATGTACGTAGCACATCACACATCCATACATCACATGCAAGGATAGAATTGATCCAATCAATTAATATCTGTAAAGCCCATTACTAAAGCCCATTTTAATCCATAATATTACCAATTAATATTATCTAGGTATATGGGTTGAATAGCAGTTAGCAATTCGGCCCATATAGCTTCTCCTGCAATTAGTGGGCTTTTGTAGTTTTAACATTTTAAAAATGGGCCTTACAGGTGTGGGCCGAATTAAATCTCTTAATTAACTATCAATCCCTTGACCCAAAAGTGGGAAATTAGGGCTGACAATCAGCCTCCATCGAACCATAGGTTCGGTTCAACCAGTTTGGACCAACCTGGTTCGAATGGGTCTAGGGTTTGATTTGTAATTAAAGATTTAATTCAAAAAAACAATCTGAAATTAATTTACTGATTAAAGAACAAGCAAGAATCAGTCATAGGTCTGTTCGCACACCTCCATCCTGCAAAACAAAAGTCAGAACAAAGTTTGCAGTTTCACAAACTGCAAATCGCAAATAGCAATCTTGACATCTGTGAATTCTCCTTCTGCGCTGCCATCTTCGATGAAGAAAATAAAATAAATAGAAAACCTAATTTCTATTAATATTACATCTGATCGAATCCTATACATTCAGTCTAGAAAAAATAAAAAAAAATATTTACAGACCAAAATGTAAAAAGAAAAACTGCAAATCGCAAGTTCACTGTGCCAATCAAGATTTCGATCTCCAGTTGTACGAACAGTCCATAAACTGGGAACCAATTTCCCAGAAAACTGGGAACCGATTTCCTAGAAAATTGGGAACCGATTTCCCAAAAAACTGGGAACCGATTTCCCAGAAATTAATTTCAGATCATTTGCCCTTTAAACTGGGAACGATTTCCCAGAAAAACCATAATTTGTGCAAATAGGATAGAACACCTTCTGCCCATTTGCGCAGGTTCAGATCTGATTTAATTTGGTTCAAGATTTGAACCATGGCTCTAATACCACTAAAGGGATGAGAGATCCATCATATGGATGGCCGAACCCTACAGGAAGGTAGGGCGAAATTTCAAAAATTTTCTCTCTCTCTCATGTGGAAATCGCATTCCCTATTTTAGAAAAACTGCATTTTTCAAGAATCAATCTTGAACCAAAAATCGAACCAGATCTGAACCAAAATGAAGGAGAGGGATATACCTGATACGAAGAAATAGTATCTCACAATGAAGGTGTTCACGCCCAAAGAAAATCTCCAAAGACTACTCCCACTGAAGATGACACAGTGTAGGGTGGAGCAGAATCGACAGTGTTCTTCCCAAGAACCGAACCCTTCACAAGAATTCGATGGAGGCAGTGAGCACAACTTCAAATCAATCTTTCTCCAAAGACTGATATCAAGATCTGATCTTGAACACTCCTATAAAACTAGAGAACGAACTGGCAGTATGGCGGCAGCAGGAGGAGAACGCAGGGAGAAGGCGCAGTCGCACTGTATTCGACTTTTCTTTGTGCTCTGAGATCTTGTATCTCTGAGATTTCTGGGATGTGAGGATAAATTGAATGGTTCGCTCCCTCCTCCTTTTATAGGCTTAAAGAGAGCTCCTAATCTCATTAGGAGTCTTCTTTAAGAGATAAGGATAAGCCCTTATCTTATCTGCAGATTAGATCAGCTCTCTCCAAATCTCATTAGGAGGTTTCCAGATCTGAATCTATATTCAGATCTGAACTCTTTGAGTGGATAGGGTAAGACCCTATCGTATCTGCTGATTTAATCCCAGATCTGCCCCTTTATTTAACTAATTATATCAGCCCAGTTCGAAATGGGCTTTTAGGCCCATGAAGTCCAAGTGCTCGAACTACTTCCAACCTGCTGCCCAGTTGGGCTTCTTTGTATGGCGTGGGACCCAAGCATTGATCTACACATCAACCACATGGGTTCAGCCCAGCATCTGTTACAAGGCCTGGCCGAATTCATTGAAAACACAGTGAACCCCTGAAGCCCAACACATGAACTCCTAATGGGCCCAACACTTACACTAAGTGGTCCCTAGGCCAAACCACCATATACAAACATAGGGACTATGGGAAGATGCAAGATTAGCCCATCACGTATTGCCCTCAATGGTCTTATACTCAACCTCTCAGCCCATTATACACTGGCCGACAAGAGAGGACCTCTCCCTCGGCTGCAAGGAACAGTGTTGCACTCTCTACTCACATGGATCTTGGGAATTAAAACMTTTGGCAAACAATTTCAATCCATATAATATATATATTTATATTCGTATATAAAATATATTTTGCAAAAAAAATTCAACGATTGAAATCAGCTACCGGCAATCTTGGTTTTCATCAAAGAGAGTGCATCCCCGATCATTACCTTTGTCCGACAAAGGGGTTGATCCTGTCACTATTGTCACCCATTCAGATGAATTCTCGGACTGTCCCAACATACTCAGGTTTTGACCCCCGCTAAGGATCTCACTGATTGGCATATCAAAGACAGCCCAATCCGACACCTAGTGTAGTATTATAATCGAGTGTAAAGGTCAGGTGTAACTTTTCAGTTTTGCTCACTAATCACCAAGGTTCAAGTAAACATACACTGTATGTACCCCGAGTCTCACCCTGGCAGCAAAGACAGGCCACCCCAACACTTGGGCGGCACACCAGTGTCAGCCTTAACAGGATAAATCTCCTCAGACTTATCCAACGGCTATGAACATTCTAAACTAACACGAGTCTCATTATGTGTCTAGTTTAAGGGTATTACATAAAAACACACTACAATAACTTAATGTAAATCAATCTGATTGGAGCTAAGGGCATATACTATCTAACAGAAACATTGTGTTCGCTTTTAGGCGGCGGTCTAGATGCCGGCTTAGATCGCTTTTATGTCTAAGGCGGCGGTTTTATGACCGCCAGCTTTGTTTTTTTTTAATTTTATATTATTTATATCAATTTGATTTCAATATTTTGTTTGTACCTATTTAATACAAATCTCATGGCAGATAATGCATAAAAACCAATTTAAATAAAAAATTACAAATTGAAAATAAAAAAAAATTAAAATTATTAATCATTATAATATCCAAAGCAAATTGCTTAAATACAATATCCAATTAACATAAAAAAGTACAAGGCATTTAAAAAAAAACTTCTTGAATAATGTAATATATCTTCCAATGCAAATCCTCTCCATGACCCCGGTTCTATCTTCAGTACAAGGCATTTGTAGGAAAAACCTTCTGACTTCAGTGTTCTTGGACAATCTAAATTCTTAGCACTGAGGATCTTGTGCACTTCCCCCTGGTATACTGACTTCATTGGATTGGGACTCAGTCTTCCTACAGGAATAGAGAAAAATCAATATCAATAATGAGACTCATCTTCCAAATTGAGGAAGATAGATAATCCCATGCATAATTAGTAATGGGAGAGATACAATTATGACATTAATGAATTGCCATAAAAGAGAAAACCGACAAATTAACTTTTATGTTTTTAACGCAATATCTTAACCTTTTCACAAGACTAAGACACTTAGACTTCACTACTGTTCCAGTGGTTTGAAATTTGGATGCTATTACCTTCGCTTACATCTTAGTTCATTGTCCTCTGCATCCATTCCTTTGCTTCCTTCCTTGCAACCCCCACTAAAGCCAGAAGAATTATCAGGAGTCTCATGACCACTATTACCAGAATTTCCCTGCCAAGAAAAAAAATCATTTGTTAAAGGCAGCAAGGGAGAGGAATCTCCATTTTTTGCTTTATGATGGTAGGAGGGAGGGTTCAAAGAATGAGTAATTAATATATTACTGAATAGTATTGTTGCAGGAGTATTTTGTATAAATAAAATAAACTTAAAACAAATCTCAAGTAAAGGACTGATTCAAACTAACTCTATAGGAAAATCAAGTGCCTGATAAATAGCATACTGACCAAATTTGCCAACAGAGAGGCAGTTCTCCTTGAAACAAATTTTGCCAAGGGTTTGTATACTACAGTAGATTTGCAGTCTGGTTTTGAGACCTTTTCAGATGAATAAGCTGCAATTCTAGATATCTCACCCTATCATGGGACAAAGGTAAAAGAATAACATAACGAACCTGTTCTTGATACGAAACAGCATCCAAAAACAAAGCCCATAAACTAAAATGCCCACCTGGGATGAAGTCATCCCATCCGGATCATGATTTGCCACTGGCTTGAATCTCAGTCTTGGATCTAATGGCAGCAACTACTGTTTCATTATATGCACCAGGGGGTGAGGCATTAATTGCACCTGCAAGAAGCTTTGAGAAGGACCTGAAACTGGAACAAGAAGGTCTTGAAGCAACAGGTTTAGCTATAACCATCCTCTCCAGATCTTTGACTTCCATTTTCAGGTCTTGAAAATGGAATACAACTTAACCGACATTTTAAGAAACTACTCTGTATTCACATGGTATGGGATCACATGGGGAATATTTTCTATGCACAGAGGAACTTGATAATAACATATTGGTATAGCTGCTCAGGAAGTTGATTCTGGTTCGGCTTAGTCTAACAATTCTGAGATCAAAAGTGTCTCCTCAAAGCCTGCAAAGAAGTGATGCTAGACTCTGGGGAAGAAAAGAATAYTGAAATGACAGAATTAGTCAATACCAAAGATGGTGTTTATGCGTCTTTGGCTGCAATTTACATGGCTGATGCTAATGAGTCATCTACATGAGTTTCTAGTTATGATTCTTCATTAGTGTTAAGAATGCAGATTTTATTTGCTTTTTCTTTTTATTATTTTAGGATGTAAAATTAGGGTGAATCTTTGTGGTCTACAATCTCTATTATATCTATACCTGGCCAATCGATATAACTATGAGGGAGAAACCTCTTTCCAGGGACATTTTTGTGGTACAAATTAAAAACAAGTTCTACATTAACACCAAACAAGTTACTTGCGTAACAAGTATTTCTATTCAAGGTAGAAATCAGTGGGTTGGGTCACTGAGATTACTCACAGCCAATGACCCAGTAATTGAGATGGTCACTTGGCATTTTAGGTATAAGGAGCCATTTATTAACAGCCGAAATGGCTGAACTGAAACAATAAATAATCAATACAATTCCAGCCATAGACATTAAGGAAACAATAAGTCCATTATTTCCACATCAGCTTGTTCTCTTTTGCTTCTCAACCCCATGAGAATTTTAAGGCTTTTTATTTTAAAAAATAAAGAAAATCAGAAAGGKTTACTTAAAACATTCAGTTTCCTTAATTTTTATTAGGAAACTGAATACAATCACTCCCTAAGGCAGGGTATGATTCAATTCAGATCTCCTACCCACAAGATACTACAGCTGTACATTGGGAACATCTTGAGTATAGTCATAAGCTGGTAAGAGGAGCCACCTTGAGTGTAGAAAATAGTTCTTGGAATGGCAAACTTTAGCTGGGCAGAGGAACTCCATCTGGAGGTAGGAAAATTCTTCCGTAAGAGGTTCAAACTGTCAGAGAGGTCTCCTTGGTTGTAACTCTCAAAGGAGTAAGAGTTAGCTCTATATCTGAGCTGAATATCTGAAGGGATAAACTGGACTTGGTCCTGGGATTTCATGTATAAGTTTGTATTGTATTTTGTCACTGCTTGTGGTGTTTTAATCATGTTTACATGTAATGTAGCAGTTAAAGGGGCCAGTGCTTGATACAATGGTAAAATTTCACTGACAAGCATGGAGAAGCATATTTGAATCTAATAGAAGCCACTTCGGCAAAAAATGCCAAGGATTTGGTCCTTATCTGGTCGACCCCTCCTAAGACCCCGGATAGCTAGGACCAAAGTGGAATTTAAAACCTGAGTTCTAGTTTACTAAATGTTGTCTGCTGTCTACCATCAGGGATTGCAATCAGAACTATGAATTTTGAAGGGCTCAACAGAGGAACATCACATCTGAAATAGCTCTCCCTCTCTAACTCTCTTAAACAGCACATTATGCCACATGCTAACAGACAAAGATGAGGACTTAACAGATGGGAAGTTTTGTCCGTCTGGATATATGAAAACAAATGTAAAATCAAAATAAGTCAAACGATGGACAAAACATAGGCTCATCAGGCAAGTGCCACACCTCTGAAGTCTTCACTTAAATGAAAAGAGTTTGAACTTGTTATTAACCAACTTGCAGGATTTATAAAACCAACTCAAAGAATCCCTCTTGGATTTGGCTGATGTTCCAATTTGAATGAAGCTTTAGTTGCTGAAAGTTGAATAGTTAATCCTCTCCTGTGTTCGATCTTAATCAAATGCTTGAAAAGCAATCTAGAACTCAGTGAGCAACTCTTTTGCTATGTTTTTTTTCAATATTTCAATGTAGAACTCAGGTGCTAGACCTTATTATTTATTGATCTCCTCAATATGAGTCAGATTCAGGTGAATACTGGGTCATTTTTGGTAGTTTTATACCAATTGGGAGAAGGCTGCAATAGAAAATGATGTCCCAATTATAAATGAGTCAGGACCATTCCATGCTGACTCAAACCAAACCTGATCCCATTGACAGGTGACAACTCTATTAAAGCCCAACAACCCCAATTATAGGTCGGACCAACTACCTACCCAAAATAAGAAGTATTACAGCTGTACCTTACTTTTTTGTACAATGCTCAAAGCCATTTTTCTTGAAAAGGATACTGTTTATCCCTTTTTATTGGTAATGATCAGAATTTTTGTTTAAAGAAGAATAAGATAATAAGAGTTAAAAGGTGAAGCATCATCTTCCCCAATAATAATGAAGAAGAAAAGCTAGACCTGTGCTACTCACCCCCATATGATACAGTATTCCAGTGTCCCATTCCCAAAACCCTCCTCTAATCTGAGGGATGAAATCCCCAGTACAAGACCTGTCGTCTTATCTGTTATACTTTCTTCTCCCTCTGTCTCTCGTGAGAGAATCAACTAGATAATTTGCAAACTGGGCAACACAAAGGATGGAAAAATGAATGCCATGAACCAACTTCCCTAATTTGATGATGATGCTACTGGGGCTCTGTTGCAGCTTTTATTCATCAACCCAGCTTCCCTAATTTGATGTTTCAGCTTTTATAGTTATTTGCAGCATGGTTTATGTACAGATATACAGAGTTGGAAATTTTATTCAATATGATTAGATCTTTGGGTTCCTTGTTTCTGAATGTTTTGAGTTAGCATCTTTGATTTCTTTTCTCATAATATTGCTGAAGCTATTCAAAAAAAAATTATACATCAACCACTAAACAATGATGGCATATACATCGGCCCATATACAAAAAGAATATCCACCAACTGAAAATGGTCCAGCTTTCCCAAAAAAAAAAAAAAAAATAGCTGGGCAACTTGAAACATTCTTTCTACACCACCCCTTGCAAGAACTGGTTGTGTTACAGACTGAAGAAAAAAAAAATATGATGGCCAAAACAAGAAGCTGCCATCTACCAAAGTGGTATGAATACTTGTAGTGGAAGACCTTATTCAACATTATCTTTGTTTCTATGTTCAGAGTTTATATCAGCTCCTCTACTATCAGCAATTGCTTGTATAGGGACCTCTGTCTCATCAACCTCTATAGCAGGTTCATCTGATCTATTCCAACTAAAGTCATCACCACCCAACAACACATTATCTACCAAGCTGTTATCATTGTACGGCACATCTGGTATATCCATCTCAACATCGTCTGCACCAATAACTTCATGCATGTCATATATATATCTCTAGGTTTTGTCTTGGAAACAACATACCATTCTGTATCAATGGGATCTTGAACATAGAATACTTGTTCTGCTTGAGATGCTAACACAAATGGCTCGTCTGTATGTAAGCGGCCTTTGAAATTTACCAGTGTAAATCCTAGTTCATCAACCCTCATTCCTCTACCTTGAGTAACATCAAACCAGTCACACTTGAATAACAATATCTTGAAGTGTTCAAAATAATTTAACTCAATTATATCGGTGAGCATGCCATAATATTCAATGTCACCCAACACCGGGTTCTTATCTCGGGTACAGGAAAAACTTTGTGTCTTCGCAATCACAACAATGCCACTATTTTGAGTCCTTTTGTTTTCATCATGCTCCTTGGTATGAAACCTGTAGCCATTTATGTTAACCCCATTGTATCTCTTTGCTACTAGACAAGGGCCATTAGCCAAATGTTCTAAACTATTTGGCACATGTTCAATCCCTTCGACGCGTAGTGTCATTATCTGAATAGCATTTAAAGGACCCTATTAGAAGGAGTTCAAAAGATTATCACTCAATAATTGTACAAAGGAAACTTAAAATGTGCTTTACTAACATGGTGCCTAAACCGTTCAGAAAACTCCTTGCGAGTCCTCTGCACTACATGTGGCCGTGCTCTAGGTTGTTCTCAATGAATCTTTTCCAAGTGCTTCCTACATTTGGGTAAACTAGAAGCGTAAGATATTATAATAATCAAAATCATTCAACAACAAACTACAAAATATACATGACTTACTGAATGTACGGGCCAACTGCATCACAATTGGTTATAATATATAAATGTGCCTTCATCATCGTCTCCTTATCTAGGCACAAAATGAGAGGTACTTCCAATACCACGACCCTTGTTTGCAAATATTGCAAATCCTTCTTCTGTTTCACGAGGCCTATCTTCTTTATCTCTTAACGGCCGATTCAACCTCGTTTCCACACCCTCAAGGTACTTTGAACAGAATATCATGCATTCCTCAGCTAGGTATCCCTCCGCTATGCACCCCTCTGGCCTGCTTTTGTTTCGTACATATGATTTCAATGTGCGAAGATACCTACCCATAGATAAAAAGGACTTCATTGTCTTAACTAACAGAATAACATAACCATTAACTTGTAAACTCGATGAAAGTTAACATACCTCTCTATTGGATACATCTAGCGGTATCAAACAGGTCCAGCTAACCTAGCCTCCTCGGTTAAATGGATGGGCAAATGTACCATAATATCAAAAAAGGCAAGTGGGAAGATCCTTTCTAATTGGCAAAGAATTATTGCAATATTACGATCCAAGCTCACAAAATCCTGGCCCTTTGAAACCGTAGAACACAAATCCCTAAAGAACTTACATAGGTCAATCAAAACTGAACTAACATTCTTCGGCAACACTCTTCGTATGGCTATGGGAAGCAATTGTTGCATTAGTACATGGAAATCATGGCTTTTTAATCCCGCAAGCTTGCGATTATTGACTTGCACCAATCGAGAGATGTTGGATGCATACCCATCAGGGACCTTCACACTCTGAAGCACTTGGCAAAAAGTAGTTTTCTCTTTCCTATTCAATGTATAGCATGCCGCCGGTAAAAAGGTTCGATCAGATTGAGAATCACAAAATGGGTGAAGTGCCTTCCGTATACCCATAGCTTGCAAGTCATGACAAGCTTTCAAATCATTCTTCTCTATGTGCATCATATCCAAATTATGCTTTACCAAAAGATCCTTCCAATATGGCAAATCAAAAAATATGCTTCTTTTCTTCCAATTATAGAAATTCTTTTTGTCAGTCCCATGGTGTCCTCCCTCAACATTGGATTGGATTCCCTTTCCAAGTGTGAAATGGAGTCCTTCAAACTGCTCCAATGCATTCTTCCCAGTCAATGGAATAGGTGCTAACCTCCACTCCTCATTCCCATCAAATGATGTTTCATCAGAACGAAACCTATGACCTTCATCTAGGAACCGACAATGGCCCATATAACAATACTTATGCCCATTGTTCAACCACAATGAGCATGTATCCTTGTTACACGAGGGACATGCCAAGGCACCTTTAGTACTCCACCCTGACAAATTGGCATAACCAGGGAAGTCAATGATTGTCCATAAAATAGCCGCATGCAATAAGAACATTTTTTTCCTTGATGCATCATATGTTAACACACCATTTTCCCATAAGTCAGTTAAATCTTCTATCAATGGCTGCAAATATACATCAATATCATTCCCTGGTTCACATGGTCCAGGAATCAGTAGGCACAGCATGATGTATGGTTGCTTCATGCACTCCCAAGGGGGTAAATTATAAGGGAAAACAAATGGACAAAAACCATTTGTTGCTAACCCTAGCCTGACATTGTGTGGTTCTGATGCAAATGATGGGTGTGTGTTATCAAAAGTTTTCTAAGCTGGAGAATCAGCAGGATGCCTTAATGCCCCATCTTTCTTACGCCCCTCCTCATGCCATCTCATTGACAAAGCAGTTCTGGATGACATAAAAAGCCTCTGTAGCCTTGGTTTTAAAGGGAAGTAACGCAAAACCTTTCGTGGAATCTTGCTCTTGTGTTTGGATGAAGTTCCCTTCCTTTTATCTTTCGACGTGGAAGTGGGTTCCCACCAAGATTCACCACAGACTTTGCAAGTGTCCCTAGCTTCATCTTCCTTCCAATATAACATGCAGTCATTAGGGCATGCATGAATCTTCTTATAGTCAAACCCCAACTCTCTAATAATCTTCCTTGTTTCAAAGTATGAATTGGGTAGCACTTCCCCTTCTGGCAATACCTCTTTCAACAACTCAAGTAGCACCGTAAATGACTTGTTAGACCACCCGCAGAGGCACTTTATCTGAAATAGCCTAGCCAGAAAAGAAAGCTTTGTAAACTTTTTACAACCCGGATATAAGTCTTGCTCAGCATCCCGTAACAAGTTGTAATATCCATCGGGTATTGTGCCAGAACCAACATCAACAAAAGCATCCGGTCCCTGATCATTTTCATCATCTTGGTTTGGAATTCCAAATGCATCTCGCAACATTCCATGCATATCAGCACTCAGCTCACCATTTGCACTATTATCATCCACATCCATAGGATTTTCCTTACTCTCCCCATGAAGGGTCCAATTAGTATAGGACAACATAATCCCATTCCATAATAAATGCGCTAAGACATCCTCTTTATTCTGATTTTTACAATTAACACACTTTTTGCATGGACAATATATTCTGCCCATGTAAGGTCCATGAGCATAAGCAAACTCAATAAAACTCTTCACTCCTTGAATGTAGTTTGGATCATCCCTAAAGGATACAATAAAGCACACAAGGGCATGCCAAGATATTAAACTTTAAACAAGAAGTCACATGTCTAAAAGAGAAGATAAGTTCCTTAAAAGGATACCTCGGAAGGCAAATCCAGCTTTTGTCCATATTGAAATACCTAGTAATTCCAGATGAATGGACAATTAAAGAGTTTGTGAGCTCCTTAATGGCTGAAATTGAAGTGACAAATCAGTCCTCAGAGACAGCATAGAGAAGTGGCAAATCAGAAATCAGCACCATGCTCATCATCAAATAATCACGTGTAAATTGGTCTTGTCATCACTTCTGCTGTGCAATTAAGCAGAGGATATTGAAATTCTTTTGTTATGGACCTTGAAATTCTTCTGAATAGTTACTATTCAGGTTTTACCTTTAAATGGTATATGAAATTGGCCATATATGGTCATAACTGTAGAATAAAGGAACCATTAAATGGTATATGAAATTGGCCATATATGGCTCTGTTTTCAAGGCAGATTTGTCATTTCTGAGAGGAACATCCATGATTATGACATATAATAGTTCATATTTTATGAAAAGCAATGGTACAGCATGAATAACAAGCATCCTCATCCTAATTTTTTTGTTTGTTTTTGTTTTCTTGAAATTTAAACATTAAATCATAGTTTTCATAGAAAAGATGTAAAACCAATAACCAAAGTAACAAAACAATAAAAATATAAAGAAGACAAGATTTAACATGGTTTGACAAGTTTATCAGGTCTAAAGATGTACTCCTAAGAAAGAGTAATGAAAATGCAGTGCATGTGAATTCGATCTATTTACTCAACCTGAATTAATGTTCAAACTGATCATCACCTTTCAATTCACTATATTCTCAACAAAAAGAAAATTGCAAGCCTATCTTTCTTTGTTAATTTCTTAAGAATTAGAAGAGCTCCACAATACTAATTTAACCCAGTAGAGAAACCTATATGTCTATATTATCCAGAGGTACCAGTACCATAAAGTCTATATTATATATCTATATCGTGTATTTGCTAGAGAGATTTGTTTGTTTTACAAGTTTCATCTTTTCATGGGAAAAGTGATCATTTGCATCCTCAATGAGTGATTAGAAAGATAGTTAAGATGAGCTCTGCCTTCCCGGGTTATTTGATGTTTGGGTTTACCATCAAAATAGACTAATGTGCCAGCTTCGTTGTTTAACATTTTTTGTTGATTGAGGTAGTCAGCACAGATTCGAGTCTATGGGAAGCTACTTTCTGCGAGAAAAAGCCAAAGGCTAGGACTGTATCCAGTCTCTTCCAATGCTCCAGAGAGCTGGGACCAACATTGGGTAATGACCTTAGGCAGGATCCCTAATGGCTTTTAAAACTGAATATACAATAAATGAATTATGCATTAGTGTGTCATATAGATAAGTTTTTCAACCACCACTCAACCTTTCTTGCATCTGAAGTCAATTTCTTTTTTCACTTACTTCAGATCTAAGCCCTTCTCAGAATATACATGCAGCTGACCCAGAATGTTGGAATAAGGCTTCGTTGAGTTCAGTTGAATTTAGTTTAGTACATGGAAAGGTGGAAGGGATTACTATTACTTGGTTTATGGATTTTGTAATGTTTTGAACTGGTTTGTTGTTGAAGAATTTTGCTATTCTTACTTTTGAAATATGCTATTTGTACATTTTCCTAGAGCTTCTTTGAAATTGTTTATTTTTTGGGGTAATATAGTTCAAGTTGTGTATGTAGATTAAGGAGATCAATTCTTCATGGTTCATCAGGGGTACCATATGGTAATGGTAGATGAGAAGTACTGGCACCCAGTGCTTGATGAGTAGCATATAACTAGAAGGTTTAATAGTCTCCTGTGAAGCTAAAGGCACATCTGCATATTATTYTCAAATTCAGCATCCAAAAACTTAAATTTCTTATTTTTATTATGGCTTCACCACAATGTTGTCTGCTGTCTACCATCAGGGATTGCAATCAGAACTATGAATTTTGAAGGGCTCAACAGAGGAGCATCACATCTATAATAGCTCTCCCTCTCTAACTCTCTTAAATAGCACATTATGCCACATGCTAACAGACAAAGATGAGGAGTTAATTTCAAGAAAAAGTAACAGAATCAACCTTAAAGACAAGGGAATGAATCAAGATGGATCAGTAGACAGCAAGTTTCTAATATGTGTATTATGTTAATTATTTTGTAACAACAAGGAAGCTATATCCCTTGTACCTGGATACAAAGATAGCAGCTTACAAGCTACCCAGGAGAATAGACTCCACAATACAAAGAGACTATTCACCCCTTCTCTAAGCTGTATGCTACATCCAGAGAAAGTAATCAGCATGCCAACAAAAGCAGATTCCACAKAATCAAATTCAAATTAATGTAATTTCTGTAAGATAATTATAGTTCCACTGAACCAAAGATAGCTCAGTTCGAGGGGGAAAGAAGACAGAGTACAGAGGAGCAACYGGAACTCATTAGAAGCAGACAGCGCTAGTGATCAAAGGGGAGGAGGAAAGTCAGACAAAACAAATAAGATGACGACAGTAGCTTGCTAGGACCAGACAAACATCGCTGAGTTCCAGAGTTAGGAAGTGAGCTCGGCGTTGAAGCTTGATGAAGTCAATATAAATTCTGGGTAGCATTAGGAAAAAGATAAACTATCCCTCCATTGTCTGGCAAGTGGATCATATAAGATTCTTTGCATGATTTTTTGTAGGGGGAGATGTACAAATTTTTCTTCTTCTGATCTTCTTGGAAATAGGACAGAGTTCATAGAAGAGACTATTACCTGCTACACTAAGCCAGCCTTTCTTGGATCTATGGAAAGCTCTGGAGGTAACTAGAGACAAATTTTAACCTCTCATAATTTCTTTGAAATAATTTATACTAATTCCCATTTTTCTATGTGAAGCTATGAAAAGATGATGCATTAATGTGTTTAATCATTGATCTAGGCTATAATCAACAAAAAAAATTGTACAACCTCTTATTTGGTTCTTTTTCTCCACTAGGATTGAGAACAACTGAATCTTTACCTGATTTAGATCAAGTGACAACCATGAAGTCCTATTCACATGAGAATCTAACTATCAATGATACTTACCATGAGACAAAGAGTACATTGAATATCTTGTGAACAAACACAATCATACTAATGTAATGAAACGACCAAAGAGAAATCTAATAGCATTCAGGACTCACCACTACCAACGAAGAATTAAGATGAAGGGAAATGGGGGATATGATGAGAAAAAAAAAAAGACAAAAGGAGTGAAAATATAGAGAACGATAGAGGGAATGTTACCTTCTCTCTTGCTCGGACGAACAAAGATCGGTGGTGCTTGCTTGAAATTTCCTCCTCAAACACAAAGGGATTCCCCTTCTCAAACGAATTAAACTATGCAAATTCTCCTCTCTTCAAAGAATAAAAGCCCTGCTATCTACCTTGCACGAACCCTACTTATGCAATTTTTCTTTCTTATTAAGATTCAAAAATCCTTTGCAATACTCTCCAATTTTTCAGATCTAGTGAAGAACTTAACCTTGTCTTCGTGCGGTTGTCTGCAATACTCTCCAAGATTGTCTTCTTCCAAAAGAGAACCTTGTCTGTCAATTTCTTGTCGACAGAACCTTGTCTTCGCGCGGGAGAAATCTGCAATAATATCCAAGTTTCTCTTCGTGCGGAAGAAGTCTGTGATCACAATAATCTTCCAAAAGAGATTGTCGAGTTCTTGTCAACAGAGCTTGTCTTCGCGCGGGAGAAAAGAATTTTCTCTCCCCGCGCACGTTTCTCCTCACCGCGTAACACTAGACCGGTTTAATTCCGGTTTATTTCAATAAGTAAAATTAAACTGGTTTAATACCGGTCTAGTTCCGGTTTATTATAAATCTTCCGAACAATCCGCCGCGCCAGCTCTTAAAATGAATGTAGAAAGACCGCCGCCTTAGATATCCCTAAGTGGTTCTAAACCGCCGGCTTTGACCGTTTCTCTTGTAATGCCAGGTGAATGATTCAGCTACAACCCTACTTCTAGAAGTCTCTTAAGCCTTAGATATTTAGTTGAAGTGTTGGTTTTCCATTATCGTTGTCGCAGTGTGCTAAGTTACTGCACTACGACGCTCAAGTGATGCATTGTCATAGGCTTATTTGAGTGTGCCATGCTACTCCACTGAGATGCTTTGGTGATATTTGTTGGATTTTAATCTCATAAGAGATTAAATCCAATGGGTTTGATTGGTCAGTTACATGAGAAATTGCACCTACACGTTTGATTGAAAAATCAGTTTTTCTCTTATAAAACCTAGTTTTGAACTTGTCCCAGATTGAAAAATTATAAGTTTTGTTTTCAGTATTTAAATAGAAGCTGATTTACACTCTTTAGAATTAATAGAGGAGAGTATGGGGATTCGATACCGTGCAAGGTGTGTGCGCGCGTGTGTGCGGTGCAATGAGGAGCTTTAGAGGCGCACTTTGCTCGCACCCGCGTGGCTCGCGATGGACGGCTTTGGTTCTGGTGCGTTGCTGACCGTTGATCACTGTTGATGAGATCAACGGTCACGATTCGATCGTGTGTGATCAAGAAGCACAATTCAAAATTAACAGTCACTAACTGTTAACTACTTTTTAAACAGTCACAATGTTTGAAATTGTGACTGTTCAAGGTGCCTTCTCTAAACCAGTACCTACATTTTCTTCATACCTCTTCACAAATTATTTAAGGAGCATGAATCAGACTCCAAAACATACAATTTCGAAATTCACTCATTCTCTCTCTCTCTCAGTCTGGTCTGCTACAATTTCACAGAAGGTTTCTTTGGAGACTCTTCAATTTGGCTAGTTGCAGATTCTCGCCCAAGACTCTGTTGTATCCTGTGAATGAATTTGCCTGTAATCTAATAACAAACTCAATAAAACTAAGTGGGGGCAAATAACGTTCTAAAGACAGTGTCTTCAGACGCGCCTCAGAGCTTCTCCTCCAAAGTTACAATGACCCCATTTTCTCCAACAACATTGAATCACAGCTCGAGAGACTACTGTGCTAATATATAAACTGCAAAATGAGTGGTGTTCGAGTCAAGACCAATCACACCGCAGTGAGAGTACAATCCAATACATTCATGCGCGAGTATTTCTGCCTATTGTCATTTGGGATTACTATGGGACTGCACCGTGGAGATCTCAAACTATCCTAGTCATGGTGAGCATTTTTTAATGCATTTCTCTTGCTCTTTAAGCGCGAGAATTTGGGTTTTCAGGCACGTTGAGAGTACACTGTACTCACTTGTTTGAGTGTCTTCAATGCATTCTCCCTAGGACTAAATCCATGTACTTCTTAATCTCTTCTTTAGAAAACTCTTTTTGTAAATCAGTTGCTTCCTTAACCAAAATAACATTTGTGATGTAACTTAAAGCATCTTGTACATCCATCTGATTGGACGAAGTAAAAGGACTCAAGTTATTCAACGAGAAACCTTGGACACATTTCAATGACCCTAAACCCAATCCCCGTCCTTGTTCTTATCTTTAGCACCATGTTTCTTGCTCTCCTCCTTAGAGTTGTTTGGTGAAAAAATTTTATATTTTTATCCTCTGCTTTAACCAATTTGTCTTACCTTTTTGTGCCCTAAAGATTTCTTGTCTATTGAGGAACTCACCTAGTTCCCTTCTATCTAGTTAACTTTTAAAGGGCAATACTTTGGAGATCTAGAAGATTCTATATTGAGCTTGTCCTTGAGTTCTTGAAATTTATTTTGCACGTGGCCAAGAACCTCTTTATTCCATTTCCTAAATAATTTCTTTAAACTCTAGCCTTTCTCATCAGCTTGGCTTGTTCATCATCTCTCACTTCTTGTTCCCAAGTTTGCTCTAAAACACTTGAAAAGTCATCATGGATTAACCACACCTCTTCGAATCTAAAAGGTCTTCCCTTATTGTAGAAAATCTTGATCCAAATAGAGGACTATAAGAATATGATCAGAGCCCCTCCTATGAAAATTTGACTAACACAACCTTATTTAAATTAGACATGAAATTCCTAATTTTACATGTACAAAACTAATTTTACATGTTCAGAACTTCAGTTATTCTAAGTAAACTATAAACATGAAATTCCTAATTTAACCAATGAAGATTCAGTTCCTAATTAGCTATTTCCTACTGACTATTTTACTCACCGGCTCTCTCATTCTTGTCAAAAATCAAACTGAAATCTCCTATGCATAGCCAAAGACCAACAAATAAGCTATTCAAGGACCTCCATCTCTCAAAGAACAAATCTCTTTCTTTTCTTCACGCCATACTCCAAGCTCCTTGTCTATAATTTCCATATGAAAAATTAGGCCTTTCAATACACAAACTTGAAATATTTGTTAGATTAGATGTAATAACCATGTAATCCGATGGGTGCCTCTATTGATACTTTGAAACTTGTTGGAGAGAGATTGATTTGAAAGAAATTTTGAAAGTCACCTAAATTTGCCACCTAAAATTTTATATTTCTTGTAGAGGTTTTTGTTTGTGGCAAGGTGAATTCCCTCAATTGATCCCATGTGCCTTACTCTTTATGTGGAGAACCTACTCTAATACCACTTATTACCCAAGTAGCCTAACCTAAGAGTGGGGTGAATTGGGTTCTATGAGTTTCTTTTCTAACTAATAGCTTTTCAAACAATTGAGTATTGATCAAATGTTGTGGAGAGCAATAATATGAAGGGCAATGTAACAAGGAAAATAGTGTGTTGAACAAATTCAAGGAACAACGGATAAATTAAAGCATACACAAGTTTTATAGAGGTTTGGCCAAACCTGGCCTACATCCTCTCCCCAAGCACACCACCTAAGAATTAACACTATATACCAGCTAGACTTCTCGAGTGTCAACAAAGCTTTTACAATAGTTAGACTTTATTAAGTGTCAACAAGACTTTTACACCAGTTAGACTTACCAGGTGCCAACAAGACCTTTCACTGGATAGAATTATAGGTGCTATCCCAACCTAACCCAACCTACGTCCTTTCCCCAAGCACGCCACTTGAGAATTTCCACTATATACTAGCTTCACTTCTTGGGTGCCAACAAAACCTTTACAATAGTTAGACTTCTCAAGTGCCAACAAAATCTTTTCACCAATTGGATTCCCATGTGCCAACAAGACCTTTCACCAGACATAGGTGTCATCCCAACCTTACAACCTGACTCCACCTTCTCTCCTATAATCTCAATGACCTTGGATAGTCTTCATGGGTCCTATCCAAACTTTTCACTATATTCTACCAGAACACATAACTAGCAAGCCACTAGCTATACAATCCCAAATATGATATGGCAATGTAAGCACAAGTAAATGTAATGCCTTTCAATAAGTTGATAAAACAAAACAAACAAAACTATCTCAATAAACAAGACAAACACACTGGATGCTTAGGCAAATTGGGACTTTTTGAGATTCATTGAAATCTCAACTTTTCTCACACTTAAGCTCATGGTTTTCTCTCTTTTCATCTCGTGGGAAGCTTAGCAGATCTATTATTTTGATTACCCATGCTTTCCTTTCATTTTTCTTGTTAAACCATATGAATCTCAGTTTCTACTAGCCAAGTTCTTTCTCATTCTCATAGATTTCTATATCTAGAACAATATGATCATATTTCAGAGATTGATCGTAGATATATTGGAAAGTCTTAGAGATAATTTCCAAGAAGTTTTAAACCTGTCCTAAAGAGGAAAGAACTATTGTAGCTCAAATGGTCGAAAAAAAAATCATGTAAGAGTTAATCATGCGAAGTTGACACCCTTTCAAGAATTAACAAATTAACGACTGCACAACTACTATTCCAAGTACGAGACAGCCATGAGCCATCACAATCCTCCAAGAACTTCACAAGCTTCTTCTCTAAATCCATCAATTGAAGTTTTAAACCTGAAATGTTAATTACCCTTTAATTTAGATATCTGGTCACCTAGATCTGTGATTATTACTCCCTTGACCACTATCAAATTGGTGTCTTCGAAGTCCGAACCCCCATACATCTCATGTTTCCACAAACAATGTGCAATATACATCCCCTGGTCCTTGATTAGATCAATTCTGAAGCCCATATTACCAAACACATCGCATGTCTTCATCCAATGTGTGCATTCAATCCAACATATTTCTTCTATGGCTTCACTTTGATGAATTGCAACAAAGTGGTGAGGATGTTAAGCGCAAAATCCATAATACTAATAGGGAGCTCGATTGATGAGGTCCACCTAACAGTCATGAACTTTGCCAGTGCCCTAGACATTCTATAATTCTCCATGGTACACAAGTCTTGGACTTCAACAGGGTCCACCACTTCCATTGACAAGGAGACCATGTTGTATATACTCCTCCCTTAACTAGCATCACATCCTCTATTTTGACGACATTCACTTCAGCACAGGGGATTGTGGGCTACCACTCTAAGCAGTAGTAAGAACAGTAGTTGTAACAGCCTTCTGGTGAGTAGATCTTGGTCGTACATGCAAGTCCGCAGTGACTCCCCTTGTAGCAACAACAGGTCCCTTTCTATCTACACTTTCCCTGGCCATCGTCATGGCTTCATGGCTGGAAGCATGAAGCAGCATACTCACATAGTCAATGCAAAAAAATAAATTAGCTTAACAACTTACACTAATGCATATATCACTTACCTCATCACCAACAACAAACACATTAGCCATGCTAGTCTCCATCGCAATACTACCATCCACACTGGTGGTTGTGATTTCATCGACTGTCAATTCAACCCCA